GCAATCACTCTGAGGATAAAACTGAAACATTTCTATGGCTAAGTTTCCCTCGCGTGTCATCCTGGCCAAAGGGACTTAAGGACAGTAACCACAGCACTACAAATTTAAGACTTACTACACAAAATCTCATCAATAGGTATTAGAGTGAAAACTTGTACAATTATTGTTAGTTACTTACAAAATCGCTCTCAGAAAGTCTTCCTAGGTAGTCACAAGAAATAAGAAACTGTGCCTAAGTTAAGCGAGAGTCAGCATTCCAGTCAACTAGTCACATGTATAACCCAAGCGTTAGATTTAGTTGCCAAAAACAAATTTCGATATAAACATTACAGTAGTTCAGTTGTATTTTGCGAGTAATTACTGATAACTGTTCATGGGAGATAAATCTAAAATCATTGGAATGTGACAAAGTTTCACAGATATCCTTGATCCAGAAACACCGAACTTTGCACGTTAGTTTCTTATTGATGTGTTTGATAGATTAAAACAACAAAAGTTTTATAAATGGCTATATTTTAGCTAAAATAAGGCGAACAATTTTGAGTAAATTCTTAAATTAAGTGTATTCGGGGGCCTTTTTCCAAAAATGAAAAAGGAACTATCCGGTCGTCATTTTCCCAGTATTAATGACGCCATGTCAGCCGTGAAATACTTTTTTTTAGTGTGGCTGAGGAAAATTGCTGCCTGACCGGCATCCAAGCCTTGAAACATCGTTGTCAAACGTGTATACACATCGAAGGGGACTATGTAGAAAAATAAATGGAAACCATCGACTTTGTACAGGTCTTTCACAGATATGCTTAGAGTTTTTCAACCAGCCCTTATAGTCTGGTCGGGGTAGAAAATTTGTGGGAAGAAATTCCTACCCAAATGATTTCTTCATTTTCTGAAACAACTATGTCCCTAGTGTTCCAGAAAAATTTTCCCCGCCAATCGGAGTTGAGCAAATTTTTGTACAGCATTTTGAAATTTTGACCCCCTTGGTCAACATAATGAAACTGAAAACCATTTATAACTTCAAAAATATCAATTTTACAGCCTAGAAATATATTATCAACAAGGAATCCAGAAATGACGTCAAAAGTAACGTACGATGTCACCGTGACGTCAGAATACAAAATGGCGGAACTATGACGTCACTGTGATGTCAAAATACAAAATGGCGGAGACGTGTTGTGAATAAAGCAATAACAGCAAGCAAATAGACAAGAGGAATATTCTGGACACCATAAAATATTCATTCGGATCATTTGTTCTACCCCGTACCAAATTCATCTTCTAAATCAATGCTGATTTGTTCGCTATTGAGACAACCCTCCCCGTGGCATCCTCCACACGCTTCAACACATTTCAAACCATTCTGTGTACAAGAACATGACGAGCATTGGTGTTTCAACGATTTACATTTACACCAGATGAAATTCAGAACGTTGTCTGGTGCTGATGGAAGAACAGTCGCGATGGGAACGTATCTATTATCTATCACTTGCCAACCCCAATTCACAGGATCGACGCCATCGTCTAGTTCATCCCAAATTCTAACCTGAACATGAACGTGGTGAGCATGCTGCTCGGCCGCGGCAGCTGTTGGAGGAAGTCTATTGATTTGAATGGAAATTTTTTCAGCAATCATAGCTTTGTACCTTAGGTACCGGACTTTAGTCAGAGAAATCTCATTTTTGTGACCATACATTGACATTGCACAGAATAACCTTTCCCCAGCTTCAGATACTTCGGACTGGGAACTTCCAGGTGAAGCTATTGTCTTGCTAGTTTCCTGAAAGATGTCACTGTTCGTATGTTTAAGAAGTCTCAATTTACTGAATCCGAAACAACCAGATTTCCCTCGCCAAACTGTCGTATTTGGTTCATAGCCGTCGAACACGACGATTGGCGAGGGAAATTTTTTTTACAAATGACCGATAGTTTTCTAAGATGTTGGAGATATTCGTACCCTTATTCCACCTTACAAAAATTAGCAGACCTCCATCAATGACAGTTATTTCACTGGCGAGGGAAGTGTTCGAAACGGGTGAAACGTTCTTGAGCAAATGCTCAGCGAGATCGGACTTGGTTACATGTCGCATGAAAGCTCCTGCAAACAGTGAGGACGGGAAGGCACTCAACTCATATTTGAAGAACTGTTGAATATCTGTACCTGTGCGCTGTGCCACCGTAATACATCTTTGAAAAAGAACTTCTGGTTGCACTCGCACTGTCTTGCCTTGAACTTTAACACCTGGTACCTCGCCAATCGTCGTGATTGACGTCTATGAACCAAATATTAAGGGTCATCAGCACGAGCGCCGAGCTGCTACGTCTAAATATAGGAGCAGTGACATTTCTCTGAAATTGGACACCACAGTTATCTATAGTCAAGCCCAGTTTCTGGCCAACATTGAAAACAAAATCCGTCTAATCAATCAGGTAGTCAACGATCTTGAATTTTGACATCACAGTGACGTCATAGTTCCGCCATTTTTTGTTCTGACGTCACGGTGACGTCGCACACAAAGCCGTGTATAGGGAAAGTTACGACAACTCATTTACAGGCGCCATTTTGGTGTCCCAACTATAACGCCATAAAAACTATGACGTCATGGCGTCATAAAGCTTTACCTTACAAAACGTTTTATTAATATTTTTTTCTTGGTATAACGTTTTCAGGAATTTTCGGAGAGCGATATCTCGTAATCAGTGTATTTTAGTGGTGGGGGGGGGGGGGTGTAAATAATTTCTTTTTAAATTCTTCAAACACAGAGTGGTTATGCAAGCGAAATGTGTGGAAAAATCGAATTTGACAAACATCAATAAAAAAAATGTATTTGTCATTTGGTGGCGGGCATTTCTTTCAATATGACTGCCAAATTTGGTAAAAGAATATCACTTTAAAAAATAAAAATAAAAATGAAAAAAAAACAACAACATTAATTTGGTAATAAAAGGGCAGATATAATCTCAAAAATTTAATTTCGAGAAATCTTGATGGTAGAAATTCACAATGGCTGGCAAAATGAAATCCAAATTGGTGGAATTTTAATTAATCGTCATTTCTTTCCGCTGGGTATGACTTTATGTGGTATATTAATCCCGAAATGACATAGTTGCTCTTAAATGAATATATTGTTAACGCGCTTTAAACATCAAGATGCAATAGACTTGATGTAGAAAATTTTAGGTACATTGAAATGTTGGCAGTAAAGATAATATCATAGTTTTTAGTTACACATTGTTAACCAACCGCCCATAGATCCTTTAATGATAATAAATCATATACTTTATTCAGCTCGACGCAATATTTAAAATGATTACATGCAGTTCGTTTAACTTGAATGTAGATATTATATCTATGTTGCATATATAGGACCTTTCCGTTGAATCATATCATAGAAGTATCTTATTTCATAGTTTTACGTATTTGTCGACATTATAAAGGTGTACTTGTTCTATTGTTCCATTTACCCTATGCATTTTATTGTTTCACTTGACTAAACAACTAAACAAAAATTTTTGTAGGAATGTATAGAGGCTTTTATAGATTGAACAAAAAGCTGATAAATATTGAGATGTGTGGAACATGTTCGGGGCGATTTGTAACAAATCTCAGACACGATATATATTTGATACTAGATGAGCATCAGAACAACATGATTATTTCATTGGAAATGGGGCGCAAATAGCCAAAAGAGTCGGATAAACTCTAAACCAACTGCGTCTCCTTCACTGGGCCCCTTCAATGTCTGTCTACCTGTGGAATAACATGTACATTATTTGTATCTGTTAAATTTGTGCGGTTTATATATTAGATTAATATTATTATTTACCCATGGGCGGGGAGTGATAACGTCTTACCCCAAACAAATTGCAAAAGAAACCAGAAAGTTTCGGAGAGCGATATCTCGTATATCAGTAATGTCACTGATGAAATATATGCCCGAGACACATGTCACGCTTTATTTAAATTTTACCGATTTTACACCGATTTTAAATTATTTATCCATTAGTCAATTTAAAGAAATTTCTATTTTCGAAAAATTGATGATACAATTAATGATCGATGACAGAAAACTGACACACAATCCGGAATGACTCTAGACCAAAAATCATGGAATTTCAGGCATTTATTTTGCCGGCTAGAAGGCAAAAAGGTTGTATCTCCCAAATTACTATTTACATTTTCATTTTTCACTTTACCCGTCTGCACAAAAAATCTGATTTTTAAAAGCGTATGCAATTTAATAGCGCTTTTTTTTGGTGTATCTTTTATTTCACTTTCTTACGAATTAGACTATTCTTATAACAATAATGTGCGCTTTCTGCATAATAATAATAATAATAATAGTTTGTTCAGCTATACTTTTCGTTTAAAAAATGTATTCTATGACATATATATATACATCCTTGTCGGGGGCAGCCAACTTCGACACAACAATATGATAGGACATAAAATAGATAGTGAGTAGGTACAAATACTTGGGACCCAAGATGGCGTCTTACTACACTTGAGGTCATATTTTCTTGACGTCATATGAAATTTCTGGCTTCACTGTTGTCGCAACTTTATCTATATACGGCTTTGGTCGTACGTTACTTTTGACGTCATTTCTGGATTCCTTGGTATCACTTTCCTATATGTTGATAATATATTTCTAGGCTGTAAAATTGGTATTTTTGAAGTTATAAATGGTTTTCATTTTCATTATGTTGACCCAGGGGGTGAAAAGTTCAAAGTGCTGTAAAAATTTTTGCTCAACTCCGATCCGCGGGGAAAATTTTTCTGGAACACTAGGGACATAGTTGTTTCAGAAAGTGAAGAAATCATTTGGGTAGGAATTTCTTCCCACAAAGCTGGATTTGTCACCTTCTCCAACCAGCCTATTATACATAACCAGCTCACAGCTTCGCTTTTTTTTCTGTTTAGTCGAATTTAAAGCAAGATAAATATCGTCTATAAAGTTGATGTGTTTTATATGACCCATTAAAATATTGACACAGATAGGTCTACTATGTGAACTCCGTTTTATTTCATTTGAGATACAGTATATATTTTGTTATAAATAATGTTAGGTACCAAGTCAGTGTAGATTTTATCACGGATTATTCCCCATAGGAAAATAACAGCACGTTGGTGTTTTCTCTGGACAAAAACCGTCCTTTTTAATTGGACATAAGACATCAGGTATAACAGACAGGTCGCGGCATGTGCCAGTACAATCAGGCTTGGAACCTAAAACGATAAAATTATTGCGATAGTGGTTACTTGATAAAACCCACGTATTTACACGTGAACGGGTGTTGAAATTGCTTATTATTTTTGGCATGTAGAAACACTAACATACTGAGCTACCCGCAAGTTCTGATTAGCTCATGATAGAACGAAATGACAGGAACTCTTGATCACCTGTATCTTTGAGACGACTTGGTTTAATGATCGGTGTATACGAAACGTAAACCAGTAAACCTGGACCAACGAACATATGTCACATGATATATCAGATATTTTGAAGATTTCACTTCCTGTCTGGTTATATACTCTGTATTCGATGTGGTATCATTCTGGGGTAACACAGGGAGCGAAAGTTTTGTACTTAATCAAGTGAGCCCTTTATTGTCAAATTAATATGAAGATAAAGGTTACATGTTGGAGATGTGTGGGTGCGTTCTAGTCAATAAACAATGCAGGGAAACAACACAGGCAATGTTACTTTAAAAGCAACAAGAAATCTGAAGCGAGTTTGGCCACATGAATCATCAAGATTCTGTACCAAAATTTCTACGTTTAAGATAACTGACCGACTATATTATCGTATGTCGGTATATATATTTCCGATGTGGTTTCCCCGGCAAGGAACACCGCCTAGCCTTTCGGTTGGAATGTATGGCCTCGGTCCCGTGTACACCTTGGCTTGCACGTAAAAGAACTCTTAACAGTTGGAATTCAATTGGTGTCCGAGCAGAATTTCTCTCATTGCGTATGTCCGTCTTCATTAACTCGGTTGGTGCAGAGAAGTAGGATGTGTTAATCTGGATTTCATTCATTCATTGTCGGTATATATCATTATTGACGATGTAATTTATGGTACTGGAAATATGACGTATGTCAGTAATGAAGTACAACTGTGCTATATTCTGATTTATTGGGCTGTTGGGGGGTGGGGGGTCTAAGGCGTGCTGTTTAAATCAATCATAAGGTCTCTCATTGAGTCATGTGCTTTCGCTTTCGATATCAGACTTATACATTGCAAGGACTAGGGTCGCATCCGCTTTCCTTCCGGTGATTAATGAATAAATGATCTACCATATTGTTAGTCCTGGCATGACATACTTAGTATCGAATGGACGTTACCCCCTCCCACCCTCTCTCGCTCTCCGTAAAACGAACCCTTTGAGAAATACACTTACCATTAGAGGTGTTCTCATCACAGTCGGCCATTAAAACAACAGATATTAATAAGATTATTGCGAATATCACTTTGGCCATTTTATCCTGTATCCTGGTGAAAAATGGAGCTATAAACTATGCCTTCCCGTGCTTAAAACTGAATGTGAGTAAATCGTGTCAGTTATTAAGTATTTAAGGTAAATATGAATATTTGTAATGGCGAGATATGGTTTTTTTTTGTATGTTAACACATATACAGAAATTTACATTTTAAAGTGGTGGTCGTTATAAGATTTGACTGATAACGACCAGTTTCTATTCTCAACACAACACCGGTGTTCTCTGACCAATTTTAACAACTACAAAACACCAACGGAATCTGCCCACCAGGGCAGTTTCAGCGCCTTAGCCTACAAAATATCGGCGTCGCACAGTCAGACGTATGGCGTTAACAAATATTTGTTTTGCATGTATTGCGATCCTCGTGCACTTACTATTAGAGAACCAACAACTTCAATGCTGTTCTTAAAAAAGCATTAGAACCCTTCATGTAATAGTTAAAAGGGGGACCGCTACTTTAATCATATTTAAGCAAGGCGTGTTTTTTTATGTCATGTCAAGTATTATTTTTAATGTTTTTAATATGACAGTTATAGTGTTAGGTATGTAAACAGACGTGTCAGTCCATTGTTTCATCCCCATTTTATCACAAGTACATACAATATGCCAAGCCTTGATATTTTGGAAGATGTTTCAATCTGGCTATGGTTTCATTTTATGAGGTATTCTAGATGCGGGGTTTAGATTAGTTTATCATTTTATCGTAAAATAAAACAATGGACATGATATTTGGGTAAAAAATATCTAATATTTGGGTTATTGTAATTTATAACAGTAAACATAATATAATATTCGACTTACAGTAGCAGACACAAGATATTTGGTCAGAGGGGGTTCTCCGAGAATATTTTGAAAATTCAGGGTGTCAATGGTTATGTGTGTCGCATATCTGGACCCAACTATAACATTCAATTTCATCAGCTACATCCCTCCAACCAACAAATAACTCAAATTTATACATTTCATAGAAACAGAATAATAATTGAATTTTTTATACTGTCATTTAGGCGGATGGGGGGAATAGGCACCTATGGCTCCCAACTTGATCCGCCACTGTCTATTTATAGTGATGATTTTTATATTTATTGATAACTGCATTTGTCCTCATTTAACAGGATGTTTTAGAGAAAGTCGTGCGAGAGACTTCAACATATTTCATTAAGATGAAATATTAATTCATTATTTACGACGTTAAATGTCTATAAATAAAAGCTATTCTTGGCGAAGAAAAAAAAACAAACATATGTCATACGCTCAAATACAGTGCAAATGTTTAGGCACAATCAAACAATATGAAAAATATGATAAACCGTTAACCTCTCTGTGTACTGTTTTTCAACCGTACAAAAGTCTTATCGACCATCGACCAACCAAGTAAAAAAGCCACGGTGGCTAAGTGGGTAAGACGCTACGCTAGTTCGATCCCTGCATTGGCCGAGAAAGTTCATCGCGAATTCTCATTGTCAGTGGTTTTGTCTAGTCATTCGGATTGGACGACAAACCTTGGCAGTTGGAATTCGATATAAGAGAGTAGGCCATAGTGCCGCTGCCTGGGCAAAATTTCCCTCATATCACATTGTATGGTGTATGCCTATCTTCGTTAGTCCAGTCGGAGCATAACAGTAGGAGGTTAAACCCCATTTCATTTCATTTCATTTTTTTGATTTCAAGTAAGTTAGCAGCTAATAAGAATAATAATATTATGTCCATTTATAAAGCGCTAAATCAACAAAATTTAAGACAATAAATTAAGGGGGGGGGGGTGAATCTAGAACAAAATGGTGCACTCTAATAATTCCACACGTCAGTTTTAGTTATCCGGTGTTTGATTAAAATGGTTTGCGTAAAATTTCTGTTGAACACTTTATTGACATGTGAAGTTTTCCAATAGAAAAACATTTGGAGTGACAGGAAGCAATACAAATTTTTAAAAATATAAACATGTATTTTATCAACGTTTACTGTTTTATTCTAGGTTAAACCAATAACACGACTTAGGTTTTTGTTCTTTATTTCAATTTTATTATGTCCAGCCTTTGATTAACATCAGCTGTTGTATAATATTTTGTTAAACACCTCTCTGATATATCTAGTTTATAGTATCGGAAATAGACTACAATTCACTTGCGGTTAGGGATCTTTAGCAGTGTGAGGAAACCGGAGGACCCGGAAAAGCCCACGAGTCGACAATTCTCCTTGTGACGTACAATCGAGAATCGATAAAAGAATTCGGTAACAATGCTTCGATGACAATATTTCACAAATTAAAATGATGTTGAATACAATTTTCATATTATTTCTTTTTTTTACAATTTTATAAATAAGTAAACTATTATTATCTGAATTCTACCTAATGGACTAAGACTAGTAATTATTTCCCCTTATTTCATGATGGGTAGTGCGAGTTATAAATAAACAATTTTTTCCTTACTTTTTTTCTCTCACCTCTTCCTGCATTTTTGGGCTGACTTTTTGGTCTAGAATTGGAGAAAAGGGATCAAATTTGCAATTTCTTAGCAGTTTTGGGTAATACTGATGATATTACAGCGGAGGGATAGGGGGTGTAAAGTGTCATTCTACACAGTCAACATCAAATACCCGTAACAAAAAATCTAAATGGTCAACCCCCCTACAAAATTATGATGAGGATATTGCCAAATGTTGTCCCCATTATGCCTATAAAGATTGGAACCAACGGAACGTTGAGCAAAAAGCTACAGCATGTGATGTTACAGCCATTTAACATTGAAGTCAATGGGCAAATAATTACTAGTCTGAATCCTAATATTTTGTTACTTTAAAATGGTTAGCTCCCTTTTTATAAGGCAAACCAATACAAATGATATTTAACTAAACCGGTAAAAACTGGTAGCTGGCATTATCATTTTTACAGTTTATCGTTAAAAATAACTAGTTGAAAATTTTGAAATATCGTAGTCGTTATATATGAAAGTTTAACTATTTCATTTCATACTTAGATGTCACCGTAGTACAGATAGATTTCAATTAATTTAATTTATATATACTATTCAAAAAAAGTAGGGGATATTTTATTTTGGGGGCATAATACTAAAATATGCAAATGACTACGAAAAAAGTCACTATAGAACCTAACAGAAGAAACATTTCCAGTTACATGTGACGCCCAAACGCACCAATAGCTACCGCATGGAATGCAGGTGATGCTTGGGATCATCATGGGGGTCCAACCCAAGATTTGCACGACTCTGACTTTGAATGTTACAGTCATTGTGGCATTGAATTCCAGGGTGGAAACATCAGTTTAATTGTTTTAGTGACCAGAAAACAAATTTTGATATGCGTCGGCTTACCCAAATTGAAAGGTTACGTGCCCTTGGCATGCTACAGATCGGCACAACACAGGCGGTTGTGGCGCGGACGATGAATGTTTCTCAGTCTGTCATAAGCAGGCTATGGTCCAGATGCCGTGATACACAATCTGTACAGGACAGACCACGCTCAGGTCGACCAAGGGCGACAACTCAAGCCCAGGATCGATTTATCCGTACCTTGGCCTTGAGAAATCGTGTCATCACAGCAAATCAGATCAGCGCTCGTCTTCAAACAGACACTGGTGTGAGAGTGAGTGGCCAGACGATTCGGAATCGACTGCATAGGGGTCACCTTCGCGCCCGACGTCCTCGCGTGATCCCTTGTTTGAGAGATCATCACATTCAGGCAAGACGTCGTTGGTGTAGGGATCGTCAACACTGGGTTAATCGACGCTGGAGCAATGTGATGTTTTCAGATGAGTCAAGGTTCACTGTTGATTTTTTGGACTGACGTAGGAGGGTGTGGCGTCGTCGAAACGAGCGCTTTCAAGACGTTAACGTCATCAGACATGATCGATTTGGGGGTGGTTCTGTTATGGTGTGGGGAGGCATCACTGTTGCTGGAAGAACGGCTTTACATGTTGTTGCAGGGCGTGTTACAGGCCAGTACTACCGGGACAACATCTTGGCAGTCCATGTTGTGCCGTTCGCACGACGTCATGGCCGCCGTTTCATCTTCCAGGATGACAACGCAAGATGTCACAGGGCCAGGATTGTTACAGGTTACCTCCAACAACAGAACATCACCACATTACCTTGGCCAGCACTGAGTCCCGACCTCTCCCCCATCGAGCATGTCTGGGACATGCTTGGACAGAGGTTACGTCAACGTCAACAACGTCCTGCCAATGTCCAAGAACTTGCTGCTGCGTTGCAACAGGAATGGGACAATCTGGACCAAAATGAACTTAGACGTCTCATTGGGAGTATGCCACGTCGGATCAATGCTTGTTTGGCAAACAGAGGAGGATTTACCCGTTACTGACTTGGTTGTGATGCTGTGGTAACTTTGCTGTTTGACCCCGGGTATCATTTTACCCTTATAATGGTCAGTCTGTGCCTTACTTAGTCTAACGATCATTTGGAATAAATCGAGGATGTGAACTTCATTTCATTTTGTCATTTGTTTCTTCGTCAGTTTCATTAGGTGTCTTTAATAACACTTAAAAATCAAATATCCCCTACTTTTTTTGAATAGTATATAAGAGATTTATCGAATTTCAAAATATCTAGATCAACCTGTAAATCTGCTAAAATGTCATTATTAACAAATGCTAGATAATAGGTGATCAATTTAAACAAATAACATGTTTTTACCAATTTAATAATAACACAATCTGTCAACACCATTTACAGTGACATCATAATAATGTAATTGACATGTGTTATTATTGAAGTAGATCTGAATTAATCTATAAATAAAATAAACATTTAATGAGTTTTGAACAACTGTTACAATTTGTATAAACCGCGAAACTTCTCTAATTCTGAAAACAGTATATTGTGAATAATTGGATGAAAAGATGAAAGTGTGGGGGAATGAAATTTACTCCATAAACTACTAGTGATGACAGTAAGGTTATACAATAAGTTCAAGTTTCAAGAGAAAACAGATTTAAAGAATTGTAGCGGTTATAATTCTAGAAATAACCAAGGGTCATAATAATATATCTAATCGTTACCGCCTTCATTGGTGAAGAAAAGTAGA